CCAGCATGCAGCCCCCGCAGTGCTGGCACTAGGTACCCTGTCTACTGTGCCTGCTGGGAGGGTTGGCCCCGACTGGGCCTGTCTCGTTCACCACTGCCTCACCAGACCCCGGGGGGCCTGACCCATAGCAGGTACTTGGCAAATATGTATTGGGTTACAGGAGTAAGGGGATGGGCTCTTTGGAATTTTCTGCCCACAAGTATGACACCTAGACTTCCCTTTGGACTCTGTCCTTCCAGTCCTCCCTGTGAGTCTCTCTGGCTGGGCATCATCAGGAGCAGCTTTTTCTCTTTGCTGCTCTACTCCCTGGCTCTCATCAGTGACCCCTCTGTGAGGCAATGCCCCTCCACTGTCCAGAAGGTGCCTTAGTCACTTCAGTACCACCAGCTGCTTGTGGAGGGCTGGGCACGGAATAGACACTCTGTGTGGGGCTGTGGGGAATGGGAGCTGCCTAAGGCCCAGGAAGGGGAGCCACAGGGGCAGTTTGTGGTGGGAGGCTGTTTCAGGGAATCGACCCCCCAACCACAGGAAGGCCATCGGGCCCCACAGCGGGTGAAACTGTTAGTACCAAGTCTCATTTCCAAATTACCAAAGTCTCAGACCTTGGGACTCCCTAAGCAGGGAGAGGAGACTTGAAGGACCTTCTTCCTGGCTGGGCTGCCACCCGTCCTCACTGCTTCCCCAGGCCAGTGCTGTCCTGCACCGAGACGGGTCCGGGATGGGGAGGCAGAGCCCAGGCCTTGGAGCCAGAGAAATGTAGACAAGATAGGGGCCCAGGTGCAGGGGACCACGTTGCAAGGAAGCCTGTGTGCAATGGGCATGCGGTTTTTAATGTGGCAAGTGCCTTGTACACTACTGGGGTGCAATGTGCGTTTTTTAAGGGCAATTTGTATGGGTCCACATTGATTCCAAGAGCTGCTTGTAAATTGTTCATAGGTAATTTTCCCATTTGTATAATAACCTTCATTTTCACCCAAAGTCCCGCAGCTTCCAGGCCCCAAAGGCTGCTTATTTGTTCCCCCTCAGAGGAGCTTCCTCACTCCACACCCCACAGAGCAGACTGAATAACCCTGATCCTTGTAACCTGTGAACAGTTAATTTATTGGGAACAGACAAGCCCAGAGGCTCTTGGTGGAGTGGATCTTTGGGTGGGTGAGGCTTCTGTGGATCTAGAGCTGGGCGGGGCTCCCCGGAGGGCTCTGGAGGGATAGGGTCAGCCCAGCACCTCCTCCTCCTCCGCCCTGGCAGCCCCAGAGCTAAAGCCTCCAATAGGGTTTGGAGGCGCTATATTGCCCTAGCCAGGAAAACACATTTGTATCAGACCCAAAAGAAGAGGAAGTTAAGGGAGAGAGCGTAGGAACCAGGGGGCTATGTACAGCAGGGGCGAGGTGGGGTGGGGCTTGATTCCTCTAAGCAAATAATGCCGGCTCTTTATTGTCCCTCTGTCAAGTAAATATTCCTCGTCCCCTTGCCTTTGTTCTAGGCTTGTCTGCACCATCAGCGGCCAAAGTGAGCCCAGGAAAAGGCATATTTTCATAGTGTGAGTTCAACGCATCTGAGCAGGTAAATCACCGCCCAAAGGCCACCTGTTGATTCTGTATTCTCTGAGAGGACCGCGGGCAGGTCCTGAGTGGCCCCCAAATCCTGGCCCTTGCCTTTCCATTTCAGAATGGGATCTTGGAATGTCTCCTTTTGACATTTGCAATGGTGAATGATTTAGGTGGGTATTAAAAGAAGTCTGTTATTCTTAGTGGCATGAGAATCAGAGGTAAGGGAAGTGGGGAACCTCCAGGGGCTGGGGAGGCTGGCTTTGTGGGGAAACTTTGTGATTTAATCCACAAATCAGAACTGTGATGTGCCTGTTGGCTTCCTCACCCAGGGGAGAAGAGGTTGGGCACTGTCACCATTCTCTTGGCCACTCTAGGGCCTTACTGTCAGCAGCGGTCCAGGCGGCATGGGCGATGCCTTCCTTTCTTCACATCCTCCCCCATCCCAGGGCCTAGCTCAGGGTCTGCACACAACTAATGAAAAATGACTCTAGAAGATACAGTGGATTTGAGGAGTGGCTCCCAATGAACATCCAAGGGAAACCTGAGGTCAATACAGCAAGGTGGGGTTTTGGAATCTCCTGGCCTTCTGCCCTGGTAAGCATGGGCAACATCCAGGCTGGGGGCTGGTGCCCTGCATCCTGGACTTGCAGCCTCCGAAGCAGTGCTAACACTTGTGGGAGGAGGAGCCGCCTCCAGCCCCTAGCTTCATGCTGGAGCTCTGCCCGCTCGAGCAGCCCGGGAGCCCCTGGGGCTCGCAGGGGATGTAGAGTTCACCGGTGCCCACCACGCTGCAGCCCCCACTGTTCTTGAGGGCAGTGGTGCCCCCTGGGCAGTATTCGGTTCTCAGCAAGGGCGTGTTGACCACACATGGCTCATACAAGACGGCACCTTTTGAGCTGCTCACGGCTGTGGGAATAGGAAAGGATGCTCAGGGCCCTGCACTGCCTGGCTTCGAGGTCATTGCCCTGAACTGTTCAGTCAGGCCCTGGCCCCCACCTGCTGCCACTCACCTCCAAGGAACCTCCCATCTCAGTTACCAGTTCCCACCCCAGCCACAAAGTACCTACGAGTTCCCCACATGCCTCTCCTCTATCGCCAGAGCCTTGGCTTCTGCTTCACTCTCTCTGTCTGCTTGTCTGAGCCTGCTTCAAATCCTTTCTCCGGAAAAGCATATCCTGATCAGTTATATGATTGCAGCTTCCGGGCCTGAAGCCCGGAGACCATGCTGCAGACCTGCTCCTCATGTGGACTCCCAAAGCCTTATGTAGCCCTGCAGGGGAGCTTCTCCCTCTGACCAGGAGCTCCTGGCAGCCAGAATCCTCCTTTGGGGTGAAGAGGCATGCCAAGGTCTGAGCAGGGGTGCTGTAGTCTATGTTGGCTTGATCGGCCCCCAAGACCCTCAGAGCCCCTGGGGAGTACACATCTACTCACAGATATTCACGGGCCCAATGCCTTCACACAGCCTGGGGTGAGAGGAAAAAGACAAAAAGTAACTGCTTCAAAGAAGACAAGGCGGACGCAGTGCCCCCCTTCTTCTGCCCACAACACAAACCAGGTTCACAAGGAGGGCCTGCAGACTCTGTGCTGTTCTGGGTGTTCCGTGACAGTGGGATGGGCAATAGCAGCAGCAACCCGAGGGCAGGATAGTGTCCATGCCTGGGGCCCATCCTTGACTCACCTGTGCTCCTCGCCCTCCAGCAGGCGCCTGTAGGTGGCGATCTCGATGTCCAGGCCCAGCTTGGAGTTCATCACCTCCTGGTACTCCTTGAGCAGGCAGGCCATGTCCTGCTTGGCCTTCTGCAGGGCGGCCTCCAGCTCAGCCAGCTTGCAGCGGGCATCGTTGAGAGCCACCTCGCCCTGCTGCTCCGCCTGGGTCACTGCAGCTTCCAGTTTGCAGCGCTGGGGGAGAGGGCACAGAAAGCATTACTGGGGGCCTTTGGAGCCCTAGGCCAACTCTCAGAGGAACAGAGAGGAACATGGTCATTTTGAGGTAACAGAGTACGTATATGTTCCATTATCTGGTGCTGGCACAGAGCTCCTAAAACTCTTATAATTTCATACGTGATAAGAACACTGCAATCATCTTTGTTTCTAATATTTGGTCTTTGTCCCAGGTTCTTTACGAAGATCTCCTAAGTTCCTTGGAATTTTCTGAATGACAGCAGTGTCTTTTGTCCTAATGAGTGACTCTGGGTGGGCTCCTGGATGGCTTCCGGGTGAGGGTGGGTCCTAGGAAGACCAGGACATGATCCAAGACTTGAAATTTTCAGTCCCACCCTCCACCCTCCAGACTGAAGAGAGAGGCTGGAAATGACAGGCCATGCCTACGTGAGGAAGCCTCCGTAAAAGTTCCAAGGTGGGGCTCAGGGGCTTCCAGGTTGGTGGACACATGGAGCCGTGGGGACAGCGGTGCACCCAGAGAGAGCGAGGAAGCCTGTGCCCTTTCTCACACACCTTGCCCTGTGCATGCCTTCCACGTGCATGTTTGTTTGTATCCTGTGTCATATCCTTTTACCAGAAACTCAGCAAGTTAACGGTTTTCCTGAGTTCTGTGAACTGCTCTAGCAAACTAATCAAACCCGAGAAGGGGGTTCCAAGGCACAGAAGATTGGTCAGAAGCTAAGGTGACAACCTGGACTTGTGATTGGCATCTGAAGCAGGGCAGTCTTGTGGGACTGGTGGGACAGCCCTTCACCTGTGGGATCTGATACTGTTTCCATGTAGATAGTGTCAGAATGGAGTTAAAGTGTAAGATACCCAGCTGGTATTGCAGAATTGCTCGGTGTGGGAGAAAACACACACATCTGGTGACAAGTGTTGTGAGTTTTCCCACGGTCCTGGTTACATGGCAGATTTAAATCTGCTGTGGGTTTCATCCCGGGATCGTTCCTCTGGGGGAGTTGTCCCAGTCCACCTGTCTGGAACACCTCGAGGAGATCCAGGAATTTCTCTGAGACACACTGAGCAATTTCTTCGTGGCTAATAGATTTTAAGTGTCTGGCTGGTCTTCACCAGCCCAGGAGAACAGGGTTGGTCCAATTTTATGAACTCTGCAGAGTCACCTTGAATTTCAGGATAATTAAATTACAGTCTTGGGGTCTGAAGGGACTGTGGGGGACCATCTTTTCTATGCTGCCATCTACTGAAGCACATTTGCCATCTCATCTTTGACAGTAGGTCGCCTGGCCTCTGTTGGGGACCTCGCTGTTTCCAAGGCTGCTTCTCCTGCAGTTGGTCAGCTCTTTTGTAGTAGGGCTGTGCCCTCTTGTGTGAGGCAGCTTAAGTTTGTTCCCTCTTCTGCAGCACTCCCAGGAGGGTGCAGCCGCCCCACATGACCAGGCTAGGCCGTGGGTCAGCCTAGGATGAGCCCTCGGAACAAGGTCTCTCTGGCCTCACCTGGGCTTTGACGTTCTCATTTTCTTGCTGCAGCCGCTGGATCAGCTTGTTCATCTCCAGGATCTCGTTTCTGTGGTTGCAGAGGTTGTCGCAGTGGTTCCCGGAGGTCCGCCGCAGCTCCTCGTACTGCAGGACGAGAGGTCAGAACCCCGGTGCCCTGCTGTGGTACCTCCTGGCCCCTTCTCTCACGGTCCCAAGTCTCTCCTCCGATAGCTTCCTGACTCAGGTGCCCCCTGGATACTCACACTCCCTCTTCTCCTCATTCCCTGCCCATTTCTGGTCAGTTTTGGGATTCTTTCCTGGGCTGCTCCTCCTTCCTTTCTTACCTCCCAGCATTAAACACTCGGGCTTATTAAGTTCTCCTTCAACTTCTGTGCTTCCTTCCTCTCTGTTTAGCTGTTCTGCGTCTTGTCCTTGTCTCTCTGCCCCAGAGCTCAAAGGTCTGCTGAGGGCTCCTCCCTTTCAGATGTCCCTCTGGGATCTCAGAAGAGGTTTCCATGCTCAGCATGGGGTGGCGACAGACCGAGAACCAAGGACGGACTGTATCTGACCCCAAGGTGAGAATAGTGGGATATTCTTGTCCAAAGCAATTGAAAACAAAATGCAATGTTATTTCTACCTTGGCTGAACGTTTTTTTAAACTTTGCAACTCTGAAGCCAATTTCTGACTAGCATGTTCTAGATGACAGATGTTTGAAAATTAGCCACCTAGATTTTCTGCACACAGTAGAGAGGAGCGTTTTGCATGGAAACTGCAAAACAAAGTACAAATCTCTCTCTTTGGCCCTTTGGGTATTTGGTTATTGTGAGAAAGCCCTACAATTGCTTCATCAGTGTCCACTCTCCTCTTCTGAAACAGAACTCTCCTTTTGAGCCCAGATAGGAGAGTATCACTCAGCCTTCTTATCAATGAGATCTATGGCCCTTACTGGGTAGGGTTTCCAGAAAAGTTCTTTGAAGTGGGGGATGACTCAGTTGGCATTTTTTTTCCTTCCGTGCTTCTTTCTGCCTGGCAGCTGTCTTGAGACAGGAGGCAACCATGAAGATTAATAAAGCAATGTTAAGGGTGGCAGAATAGAAAGCTAGAAGGAGCCTGTATCCTTGATGATGACATAGACCCCTTGGGTGAAATAACTTGAAGTCTATTTCTGTACTTCCAGTTATTTGAGAAAAAAAAGGAAAACTGAAGTTGTTTTAACTAATGTTTTGAAAAACTTTCTGGTCGTCACAGCTAAATACAATCCTTAAACAATAGACTTGTCTTTCTGGTTCTGACTTAGATGCATGGGGAACCAAGGTTGTTTCTTCTGAGCCCCCTTGACTGATGGGCTGATGGGCGGCCCAGGAGAACAGCAGGAGAAGAAGGGATGAACCCTGGTGTGGATGGACCATAGAATCACTGGGAACTCACTTCAGGCCAGGGGTTCCATACCTCTGATCACCATGGATCTCCAGAAAATGGGCAGAATATCGCTTGGGGCACTCTCTGAGCAACGGTACCCATTGGCTTCCGAAAACAAGTCCAAACTACTTAGCACAGCTCTGAAGATTTGCTGTGCTCTGGTCCTATGCTCCCCTTCCAGCCCCACGTCCCCATGGTCCTTCACACTGGGAACCTCGTTTTCATGCTCGGCATCCTGGCTACTGCTGTCCCTCAGCCAGATGCACCCTCCCCTCCTGCTCTGCTGATTGAAATCATGCTTGGCCTTCAAGATCCAGATCAAATGCAGATGGCTCTGCCATTCCGGGCACTGCATGCGATCGGGTTTTTCCATTTGGTTGGTTACTCGTTTCTCTCCCCATGGACTGTAGTGTCCTTGAGCACAGGGGTGGCCTGTCGCTTAGTGTCCTCATGGTGCCACACACCTCGGTAAGACCATCCTTCCCCTGCTACCTTCTTCAAACCACATTTCCACAACACCTCCCATGCTCTCCTCCATGGCACGCGTCGCCATCTAACTCACAAACACTTGTTTGTCTTGTTCGCTGTCTGTCCTCCCTCTGTCCCTGCCTCTAGAATGAAAGTGACATGAAGGCAGGGATTGCTGTCTGTTTCGTTCCCTGCCTGGAACAGTGCTTGGCACATAATGGATGCTCAAGGAACAGCTGTCGAATGAATAAATGGATAAGCGAATGGATACATGGTGCCTTTCACAGATGGGGCAGGTGAGACTGACACGATATCTGTTCCATCAAATTGCCCTCAGGGACGCCAACTGTCCGTACAGCAAGCTCCTCATTACCTAAGTCTGGGGCCACCTGAATCACCCTTTCTGCTTCACCATTAGTACCACCCCATGCCTTAACCTCCTCTGACACTGTGAAGCCCAGACCCTCTTTGCCATCATTGTCAATTAATATTCCTTGAATTCAGGTCAAGGGAGCCTGTGGGTAAATAAAGCTGGGGCACCCTGGTGCCGTGATAATATGCCTGGGCTGTCCACTCTCCAATGTTCCATAGGCACCTGGCCAGGGGCCTGGCCGAAACACCAGGGACTGGGGTTTCGGGGTTCCCTTGGCTCTCTCATGATCTTCCCACCTACTTTGTGGGGAAGTGGGTTCAGGGCCCCCTCCCCAACCTGGGCCTCACCCGGCACTGGTACCAGGCCTCCGCTTCAGCTTTGCTGCGGCTGGCAATGTCGTCATACTGGGCCTTGATCTCGGCAATGATGCCGTCCACATCCAGGGCCCGGCTGTTGTCCATCTTCACAACAACCGAGGTCTCTGAGATCTGAGACTGGAGCAGGCAGATCTCCTGGGGGGTCGGGTGAGGACGGGTGAGGTCTTTGAGGATACAGGGGGAGAACCTACTCTGACCTTCCTGTAGCAGCTTCACACAGGACTCTGCTGTGACTGTCTCGGGCCTTCAATCACCAACTTGCTCCCTGTCCCTCATGCTAGTTACACAGACACCCAGGAGTCAAGGTCTGGGCCATCACTGGCTGAGAACCAGCTGTCCAGTGCTGACTTCTTCACATGCTCACTTTGCAGTCTGCTTGTCCTGAAATGTACCCACTGGGCAGGAGCTTTCCCAACCCTGGGTCCTCACAGAACTGGCCCCTGGTCTGCCACCTGCAGGTGGTATGGCTGCAGGTACCTCCTCATACAGGCCTTTCAGGAAGTCGATCTCCTGGACCAGAGCCTCCACGTTGGTCTCCAGGTCAGACTTCATCAGGAAGGCCGTATCCACATCCTGTATTCAGAGCATTGACAACTATAACCTGGGGCTGGGGGAACGTGGAAGGGCCCCCAGCCCATCCACCAGCTGGGCCGTTCCCAGCAGGCTAGTGGCAGGTGGCAGGTGTGGGACCTACATTTTCTCTGTTAAGCTCATGTGAAAGTGAAGGGACCACAAAGCCAAAGATGGAGGCAGGGGTCCCTAGCCCCAGGACAGCATGCCTGGGCATGGCACCTTGTTGAGGAAGGATCTAAAGGGAAAGGGGTTTAAAGGAGCTTTGAATGCAGCTTCTCAGAGCTCACTGTGTAGAGCCTGGGCCAGGAGCTACCTAGCTATCTGTCTGGGAAATCATGGCAATGGCTTTCATCTTTTGGGGTTTGAGTCAGAGTTTTTGTTTTGCCTTTGATTTGGCATTGGTTACCTCTGCGGCTTCTTGGGCAGGTGTAGACACAACCTTAACCAGCTTTGGCCCCTATGAATTGGGAAGCGGAGGCCCAATCAATCACTGCCCTTTAGCAAGGGGTGGGGATGCTGGACCTTCTCTTCTTCATTGTCACTTGGACTAGCACTGGGACCTGGGGCTGCGAGATGCTGTTGCATGTGGGTGGGCTGCAGACTTGTTTGGACACGGTGCCAGCCCCGGGTGTCCCCAGGCCAGCTGGGCCCACTCAGGAGGCTCTCCCCCTGTCTGTGCCAACTCCCTCACCTTCTTTAAGGCAACAAACTCGTTTTCTGAACAGGACCGCAGGGACAGCTCCTCTTCATATCTGGTGGCATGGGCAGGAAAAACAGTTTTAGTCAACCTGTGGAATTTGGAAGGGACCTTGGTATCACACCTAAGAGAAGGGGCCTTTGTGGGGCGAAGCCGCCTCTTACTGACTCAGTGCTCTAAGGAGCATCAGGTCCCTCTCCTGTCTCTGGACACCTCTAGCTGCTCTAGCCACTCAAGACAGTGGATTATTACCATAGCCTCTCATTAGCTACTTTGCCAGTTTACTCCACTCCCATTAGCCTGTTCTTGTGATGAATCATCTTCTGGGGAGTCCTTCCTAAGGCTAACTTTATTCTGTCTTCATTCTGCTAAGGAAGCCCATTTTAGCTGATCATTTCCTATGGAAAGGTGGTGAAAAGCTGGCTGCCTGTGGCTGGCATGGCTGTCTATGAATCGTGTTGGTCTGAGAGTTGGCTGTAGTCCTTGAAATCCTAGCTGACCCCATGCCCTCCTCACCAGAGAGTACTGGGCCTGACCCCTATCTGCAGGTCTATTGCAGAGGTAGCAATTACCCATTTACCAGACCCGCAGACAGAGCCCAGCTATTTCCTCCAGGGCTTCGCCCACTCACTGCCCTCCAAGGCAATGGAGTCGGGGTCAAGAGGTTCAGTCTGGCCAGAATGACTCAGGTCGAAGAGAACATTGATACGTTAAAAGCTTTGCTGTGCTTCCTGACGCCCATCCTTCCTTTTCCCAGTGGAAGGAACTCTTCTGCAATGCCGGCACTGGGCCAGGAGTTCACCCCTGGCTTTGAATCCTGCCATAGTCAAGTGCTAGTCATGTGACTGTGACTTGCCTTCTCTGTGCCCCAGTTTCATCATCTGTAGAATGAGGATAACACTGGTCCTGCCTCACAGGGCTGTTGTGAGTTAATGTATCACATGTGTTAATATCTGCAAAACACTGAGCCTGGCATGGAACATGTATCATTTAAGTGTTGGCTATTCTTGTTAAAATACCCTCTAACCTCATCCTCCTCCTACTGTAGTACTTTTAAAATCCAGAGTCCTCATCATCTCGAGCTGCAAATTGTGGTTCAAGGAGATGCTGAGCTGGAGGCCTATCAGAAGAAAAAACAGGGGAAGCAAAACCTTGGAGTAAAGAGGGTATGGGGACCTATTTGGGGAATAAGATGCAGTTCAGGAAATGCCAAAGGCTTGGTAGAAGATAGGTCAGAACAGGTGGTTTGGAGTGGAGCCCTGGAATGCCAGAAATGGCAGGAGAAAGATCATATTTCACATTGAGAGAGAGGACAAGGACCTTCCTTAGGCAGGGTGATGGGGAGGGAGATGAAGACCAATGCACAGTTTCAGAGTTTCTACCATGTGCCAATGGGCAGTATCCTAGATGCTCTGCCTACATTATCCTACCTAGTTGCTCTTTCAACTAACAAACTTATTTTTAGGTTTCCCTAAAACTTTGTATGGAAGGGGAGACCAAGACCCAGATTGTTTACGTAGCTCGCCCTGGGTTCCTTGGCAGGGTGAAGTCGGAGCAGACTTACTTTTTCTTGTAGCCCTCCAGTGCATCCTGGAGGCTGCAGAGCTCGGTCTGCAGCCTGACTCGGTCCCCGGCCACACAGTCCAGCTGCCTCTGGAGGTTGCAGATGTAGGTTTCGAAGATGGGCTCCACATTGCTCTGGCAGCACCTCTGCTGCTGAATGAACTTCCACTTGGTCTCTAGCAGCTTGTTCTTCTGCTCCAGAAACCGGACCTGCAGCCAAGAACAGGATGTCACTGGACAGCAGGCTCCTTGGGGACCATGGCTTGGAGACAGTAAATGGTGGTGTGGGCAGTGAATCAGTTTCTGCTCTCTCTCCTGACACACTGCCACCAACATGCTGCAATTTACAGATTGGGTCTCTCGGTAGACAGGCACCTGAAGTTATGTCTCTGTGTCTCTCCTGCCTGGGGAAGCTTATAGGACCCACCTCCCACCCAGGGCTTGAATGTTGTAGTGGAAAGAACACTGGCCCACAAGCCCCCTCATCCCCGGCTCTCTTTGCTGCACCTTCTCTTCATCACAGGCCTAAGCTGATAGCAAATTCCGAGGTCACGGTGCCCATTCCCACCTCCACACCCAAAGGTCTGGCCCCAGCTCAGGCACTTAGAAAGCAGCTCTGTTGCTAAAGCCTCATCGAGAAGGCCTCTTAGGTTGTTCCTCTCAGCATCTATCATTGCTTTGGAAGTTCCTCTTGTAGTCTGACCTCAAGCAACCTTGGTGATATCCAGAGAGAGATGACATGTTGAAAAGGCCTGGGGCAGGTCCTCCTTCTAGCCTTGCCTGCCTGCCTCCCTGCCTCCCACCAGCCTGTAACCTTTTCCAGGCCATCCCATCCTTTTAAGCCTTGTTTTCTTTCCCAAAGCTCCTACTTTGGGTTGTGCATGGGGAGCACTTCATAGGTCTTCCTACTAATGTAAGTGAATGACATTACACCCGGGAGGGGTTGGGCACTCTTCAGTTACAGCCCAGGGACATGTGGGGGAGAAGGTGGTATCAAAGGCTCTGTCCCAGGACTTATAGCTGTTTTCACACTCGGCCCCGTCATGCATGGCTGCATCCAAAAAAAGTTCCTCATACAGTAATGTGGAGAGCTGTTGGCCCACCCCCTCCATTTCTGTGGCTTGGAAACCTAGATTAGGAGAAGCTGAATGCGTTGACCATGGTCACCCAGCTAGCCATCGGCAGACAGAACATGGTGTCCGGTTCTTGCTCTGGGATTTTTCCTACTATGTATTGTCTCCTAGAAGAACTGTAGAGGAAGTAATGTTGCCCTACTTCTGATGAACTGCGATGTCCTCAGGGGGTTTCCAGCCTCACAGGGGGTGTTGTGATGCTGCTGACAGAATGGGCTTACAACCAGAACTTACAAGCTTTCAAAATTAAACTGTGGGACAGTTCCTATTTACTAAAACAAGTTCCTTTTTGGAAGGCTTTTGTATCTATTATCTCCTCTAATTTTCCCACCACCATTCCCCCACTTTCCTCGAACTTCTCTGAGACTGGGAGGTGAATGGTTTGCATAGGGCCTCAGGGTAGTAGTCAGGACTGGAGCCAATGGGTCTCCTGATTTCTGGTTCAAGACTCTTTGCCCTAAACCTTGCAGTCACCACAAGTGCCTACTCAGACTTTGGCATGGGTTCTGATCCCCAAGAGCCTTTCTGAGGTGTGGGGAGCAGTCCAGAGGTGGTGCAGGGTGACAAGATAGTTCAGCG